ACAAGGAGGGCTAGAACCCTGTCAAAGTAGCAGAATGGATTTGAAAGAGGATGGACTATCTCCCATCAGAGAGTGTTTTGATACTTTATGTGCTAGGAGTTGGATTTTTGCCACATGATTCACTGAAACCACAGCTGCTGTGGAAATACAGAACAAGTTAGGAATAAAAAATAAGGGAATAAAGAAAAGAAAAATGTGCAGAAGAAGAAAACCTCAGTAACAGAGATAGGCTGGGGGCAGTCTGAAAGGACAAGAAAACAAGGTCTAGAGAAGGAATGTGAGAAGTTAGTTCCACAATGGGTCTCTGTTTTCAGTGGAGATAGACCTTTTTCCATTTACTTTTTCCAAAGCCGCCAGTAAAGATGTAGAGAAGCAAAGTTTCTCAGACTGTACCACAGGGCAAGCCAGAGGATAATCCTACAGAAGGCCTATTTGCTTTGTACAGCTCTGTGTTCAGCACTGCAAGGAGCAGTGGATTAAAAATGCATAGACTTGAAAGCGAGTTTCACAGGACAAGGAAGCGCCTCGGGATTTGCTTCTATTAATTTAGTGGGAATGTTGCACATTGCTTCAACAAAAACAGGATCTAGCCTTTATCTGACGATCTTAAAATGTTGTGAAGCAGCAGGCTCAAATCAGTGACTGGAGCCTCCAAGCGTGTCCTGAAGCTGCTTGTTTGGCACCTCCTGTTAGCTTCCTGTAGAGGTCTGTGCTGCTCAGGGTCAGAGCCAGACCAGGACTTCCTTGGTGCTACCACTTAATTTTCTCTTTTGTCTCTTAAATGGGGCACCTTTGGCTCCTAGTACCTGTGATACCAGGAGGCTTAGTCTGTATCAGACATCTTAGGAACAGTAGTATGGAGGGCTAATAAAGCTGTCTGCCCAGCTTCCTTTCACCTCTTTGTGCCCCTTCCCAGCCCTGTTCTTCCCTTTCAGTGCCTGTTCTGTACAGATGTGTGCCCAAGTTCTTCTGCAATGTTTGGACATGATAGGGTAGTACACCAATGCCATAAACCAGTGCCTCCTCCATAAATATATTCCTTTAGCATCCCTTCAGTTCATGATCCTTTTGTAAGCTTCAAGTGCTTGTTTTCAAGCCCATTTCCCTTCCCATTGGTCTTGCAACACTCAGCTACTTGGTCAACTCAGAAACGTGCATCTCCTGAAAGATATAAACCTGAACCTCCCCTCCTGCCTCTGATCCTTCTCATGGTTTCTCACCCTTACTGCCCTTCATATCTTCGTTGCTCAGTGTCAACAAATGTTTGCTTTCCAGCGGCAAGATGACCTTAGTTACAGATACATGAAACACAAGGGAAATTCTGAAGAATCAGTTAGACTTGCACAGAGGAAGCAGGATCTCACCGCACTTTCTGAAATAGGAGAGGGGCCCTTTGGGAGCCCCCCCAGTTGCTTTGCAGGTGTAACAGCCTGTCACTTACTTTGCACTGACTGTGAGGGATGGAAGATTGCTACAAGAGCCCGTCTGTTCCATCTTCACCTGTATTTTCCAGTCTTCTGTTGCTGGGCATATAACCCACAGGGAGCTGAGCACCGAGAGGAACGACACCGCCACCGTTTTCATGCTTCCAGCATAGCTGACCCATGGTTATGTAACCCCAGAGAGCAATAGGAGGATTCTTTGTCTGTTCAAAGATTAATATCTAGACCAGCCCAAGTGTGGCCTAACACACTATTGTGGAGCTACCATCAACATCAGATCGTCTGTACTGCTCAGCACAGGATCAGTTCTCTGTTGAGAACTAAGAGTTAAATTAAATACATATTACTATGTATTTAATAGCAAGTCCAGTTACTATAAAAGACAAAGGAAGGAAAGGGTTAGTGAAATGGCCTATTTTATTTTTCAGTAGCTCTCTTTAAATATCCCTAAGGATTTTTTACCTTCCATTAAATTTTTACCTGAAAATGCTGATTGTAAGGAATCCAGTAGAGATATATGCAAAGGAAAAGCAGACTGTTAAATACTCTTGCTTCAATAAATCTCCAGGCACTGAGAAGCCAATAGGGCATGGGGAGGAGAAAGGGTGGGTGGAACGGGAGCTGCATATTTTAATAGGATGATTAAAAATCCTGTATCAGGATTCATCACATACAGGACACATACGTATAATTTATAAAATGTTTTATTACTCCGTTCCTCTAAATTGTATTTCTGTCTGCTATTTCTCTCTATGCAAAAATGAAGACTTCCCCAATTCCTGCAGATCGCTGCTTACTCTGCCCTCTTCTTTCCCTCTAAGCTTGTTGAACAAACTGCTCAGCTGAATAACTAGAGCTCCTTCCCTCCCCTTCTCTCCCAACCTGGCAGTCTTTCCCTCTCCAGCATTTTTTTCAGTGCTCTTTTTTCATTCTCTCTGCTGACTCCATTCGCTTATGAAGATGAGGGGTCCAAAGCCACATAAACCCCGGATATTTCCACATTCCTACATTCAAGGTTGAGTGTTACGCTGCTTTCTTTTTTTCTTTTTTCATTGAAAGAGAGTATCCACCTGAAAAGAATAAAAATGAGTCTGAGCAGAACTTGTGCCCATAAATCTCTCAGGTTTTTAGGGAGACTTACAGAGGATTCTGAATTAGAAGTCATAGAAACAGATATTCCCTTTCCATAGCATGTGTGGGAGGGAGGCAGTAGGAGATCACGGAGCTCTGACTCAGAAATGACTGTGAGTGTCACAGCTCTTCCCAGCTTAGCTGGAAATGGCGGTGCATGTCTTTTTGGGCCCATCTCTAAGGCTTGAGTTAGATGCGTGATGCTCCTCCAGAAACGAATGCACCAATGCTGCAACTGAATGCACACACAGAACAAGAACCAGGGCCAGCAGTAGGTTAGACACAAGCAGCAAGCAGAGGAAGAGAAGCAATGAATGGGAGCGATGAGACTGTGAGATCCTTTGCTCCATACCAGCTGCTGGATTTTTCTCAGTGCCTGTTATCATGCAGAGGAAGGCTGCAACTGCCTGCTCAGCATGGGGCAACACATACTGTTCTGCAGGGCACAAATCCTATATATTTCCTCTTTCCTTGCATAACAGCAACTGATGTCCACCTAGCATCTTCCATGCTAGATTGATAAGAAAGCACTCGACCCTTCACACAGGTCGCCACACAGACAGTACTTGTCTGCTGCAGTAACTGATTCTCTTATGCATTTTTGTACTAAAGGAGAATATAATCATACTTAGCCCCCAGTGTCCACTGACTATGGATAAGCGGTGATCTTTACTACAAAGAAAACCCTATTCTCCCAACTGTTGCCATCTCAGGGCTGAAAGGTTTCGCTCTCTTCATAGCATACTAGGGCCCTGCAAGGCAGAAATCACTGCCCCCCTTTCCTTCCAGGAGCTGGAGAATTAATGTATTAAGAGTGTGTAATGACCTAATATGAATTTGTTTGAACAACAGAACACCATGTACCTCTGCTGCCTGGCAGCCCAAAAACGTAGTTGCACAGAGGGGTTCCCAGTACAGGTGAGGGAAAGGACCTGCTACTCAAGTCTCATCCTCAGTGGAGGGGAGCTGGCAGGCGCAGCCTGAGCTTCTGTGTGTCACAAAGCCTCTGAGGGCTGTTCCTGAGCTGGTACCACTCATGCTGACACACAACTGGATCTTTAACTGCATCAGACTTACCCTGGCAGGAGGGGGTTACGTGATGTTTTGTCTGACCCCCACCAGCTCAAGTGTTTTCTGTAACCATCTTGGAGTTGCAAAATACTGACTAAATCTAACCAAGCATGTAGCTCTTAGGCAAGCACAGCAGAGCTCCTTGGATGATATTTCTGCCTTGTAAATTCAGGGGCTCTCAGATGCCCACCTTCAGGGTCTCTTCTTGAGACTCACTGTTTGCAGTCCCTTTGGTCCCTGGAGCTGGCTCCAGGATGTGTCATGATCCACAGCAGCAAATGCTAAAGTGAATCTTGGGTTGGATCAGAAGATGAAATGGTGGAGAAAAGAGATTTTTTCAGAGTGGCATGAAAGGTGATATTCTCACATGTTCACAGTGCGTAAGCCATGTTAATAGTGCTGCCTGCTCCAGTGGCTAGCTTGCTTGACGAGATAGCTGCTCCGTTAGCATACAGCCCTGCATCCCTCTGTGGCTCCTGACTGCGCTGTAGTGAACATCAGTATCACAGAGGCTGTGTTGTAAAGACAGAACATAAATCCAGGGCGACGAGGAAGTAGTTCTTGGCCATGGTAGTTCCCAGCAATAGTTGCATGTATAACAGCCTGCTTCTGCAAAGCGGTCAGCATCTTCATTTCCAGATGTGTTGTTGTAAGGAGGAGCTCGAGGTGCTTAGAAGCTTGCAAGCTGAAGCTTCAAATCCCCATGTGTTTGGAGGTTGTCTTGTCAGCTATAGCTCGTTTTTTGAATCTTTTCCTTTGGAGCGCTCAAATGCTTCAGGTTTAGTGGCTGAACGTGAGCAAGGAGATGGTTGGAAGACAAGACAGGCAAGGAAAGCATAATGCCTGGTGTAGTCAGAATGCTTAGCAAGGCTGCAAAGCAAAGCATCGTTTGGTGACAGCATATAAATACCCTGTTTGTAACTGAAGCAATAACAAGGGATTTGTCTGTATCCAGGGTTATTGACTGACCCTTCAGTGCTGAGTTGCCAAGTGACACCAGGTATTAGAAGTATTTCAGTAACACATCACCTTGTGCTCCTGCTAGGTGAGACAGTTGTGCCCATCCCCTCAGGAGAAAACTAGGACCTTCCCCCTTGGTGTTTTATGCTGCCAGCCTCTTTATTTCTGTAGGTGTCCCATCCTGAACACTCTTCCTCTTCCTGCTCATTGTCTTCATCCCCCACAAACCCCCACGCACGTGGCTCTGGATCTCCTCATCATGTTCTTCTCGTTAAAAACCCCATTGTTCATTTGTTTGTTTGTTCTCTTTCTCTCCTCTTTTTCTCTCTCTTTCCCTCTCCTTTTTTTTTTTTTTTCTTTCTTTCTTTTTTTGTCTCCTCTGTTTTGTGTACCCAGGCAGCCCATTGAGTAACTTCTTTGACGTAATTAAACAACTTTTTTCAGACGAGAAGAACGGGCAGGTGAGCCATCCCCCCGGCACGCCAACCAAGCATAGCGCAAACAGCAAGCGGAGCGATTCCGGTTCTAATGACTATGGGTCTAGAGGAGACAATAAGTACCCTGCTGGCAAAGACAAGGCAAAGATGGTCTCATCAGTCGGCCTACAAGACCAACCTTAAATAAACACATAAAAAAAAATTAAATAACTTAGAAAAAAAAAAAACAAAAACAAAAAAGCAAGAAAGAATGAAAGAATATTCCTTAGTAAGCTAGTCTCTAAACTAGAAGGATGTATATACCTTGCCACAACAGTACAAAACTGTCTATAGACAAATTTTGTATGAAGGAATGACTGTATATATATACATATATATATTTATATATGATATATAATATATATCTCAGAAACAAACACAAAAACAAACGAACGAAAGAATGAAAAGAAAGAAAAGGTAGCACAGATGACAAACCCAGTTCGCCAGATCTTGGGTTGTGTTTTTTTGATTGTTTTTTTTCCTCCCTTTTTTTGAGTGCTTTTCTTTTTTTTTCCTCCTTCCTGATTTTTTGGGTTTTTTATTATTATTATTATTTTTGTTTTGGTTTGTTTTGGTTTGTTTCTTGTTCTGTTCATGCTCTCTCTGTGTTTCTGACGACACCACTTGTTTCCGCTCTGCTACCAGGAATTATCCCGAAAAGTTAACATGTCAGCCACGGCTTCACCTTCTGTGCTCTGCGGACACTTGTTGACGGAAGGCAACCGATGTAGACTGTCCAAGGACCAGTCCTGTTTGAGGTTCCCAGCCTCCCCTCTCCCTTCAGGAAGTGGGTTTCTCCCCCACTTCTCCCCAGACACCTCCCCAGTGCACTTTTTTTTTTTTTTTTTCTTTTTCCTTTTTTTTTCTTTTTTGGTGTTCCATGAGAGAGAGATCTCTGCTCAGTTATGAGATTGCACAGTCGGGGCTGAGAGGAGGTTGCAAATTGTTGGAGCGCAACCTCTGCCTGTGGCCAATTCCAAATGACCTCAGCCCGGTGGGGAAGGGTGCGGGGCAAGGAGACGGGTGTAGCGGGAGCGCAGTGTTCGTGAACCCAGAGCGTATTCTCATCAGAAACCAGCTGGGAGCAACTCAAAACTAAGCGTTGAACCAAGACAATATTGGGGAGCTTCATCACAGGATTTTCTCAAACTTCTTTTTCTCCCCACCACTTTTTTCCTTTTCTTTTTCCCCCCCTTTTCTTATATATACATATATATATATTTATATTTATGTATAAGTATACATATATACATATATATATATACACATATATAAAAGTTCTTTTTTTTTCTTTTTGATTGTATCATTTTGCTTTTTTGATCTGCTGGAAGGGGAAAGGTATAAACTTAGCAGGGAGAGGGGGTTAACTGAACAAACACATACAAACAAACATTAAAACTTAGGGAAAAGGCAACTTCTGGTAGCAAAGAAGAGGGACAAGATTCTGCCAAGGACTGTCTCTCCCGCCGCCAGGCACAGTTGCCGCTGCTGCTACTGCTGCTCCTCCTTGGACACCTTCCTCCCCATCTGTCGACTCCCTGCCACTGTGTCACCGCGGCGCTGGGACCTTCTTCCACCAGCTGGATCCTCCACCACACCCTGCATTTAGATGCAATTGTTGTGTTGCTAGTGCTGCATTGATATCAGTATTATTTCTTTAAGTTATTGATTTCATTTGTTGGCTTGGGTGATTGTTTTCCTACAAAAAAAAAGAAAAAAAAAAAAGAAGAAGATGAAGAGGAGGAAGAAAAGAGACTTATCTTGGGTTTTATTTCCTGTGTGTGTGTGTGTGCAAATCACTGGCACTTAAATTCATCTGAGCAAGACAAGGTGGAGTCAGGGCAATGGGAGACTTAATCACGAAGCTACTGTAAACTTTAAAAAGTACTGCAAGATATTTTTATAAATTTTTTTTTTTTTTTTTGAAAGGGGGAGGCGGGTGGGATTGATTGGATGGGGACCATTTTTTTTGTGTTTCAGTTGTTAGGTCTTGGTTATTTATATATACATATATATATATTTAAAAAATAAGCTGTTAGATATATCTTCTGTTTAATAATTGTGTAGAGGCAACATTGATTCTTATTTATTTTGGGGAGGAGGGGGAAAAAAGACACAGAAATTTCGTCAGTGTTCATCTTGTGACTTCGAGAGAGAAGAATTGTCGCCTTTTTTCCTCCTCCTCAAGAGTTATGTGACCAAGTGTAACTTATTCTGGCCCAAGCTCAAAGGTTAAACAAAACAAAAAAAAAAAAACGTGGTTTTACGCGTGGAAGACAAAAACACAGTGAGAAGTACTTCTTGACTGAGATTTTAAGAATGTAGGCTTAGCATTAGTGTTCAGCTTTTATGACCTTCAATTGCTGCTCGTTGGGTTCCTATGGGTGTATGTTGTATCGCAAGATTATTTTTTTTTAATGATAATGTTGGATGAGTTCTCTTTTCTGTTGTTGTTGTCGTTGTTGGTTTTTTTCATCATTTTCCCCCTTATTGGACCAGTTTTACTTGTACATAGGTTTGGAGATTAAAAGGAATTTTTAAAGACACAACTGGGGCAAAGACCTTTGACTTTTGCCCCATTTCCCCATTCCCCCCCAAATGGGAAGGATTTATTTTAATTTTTCGTTTTATTTATTTATTTATTTATTTTCCCTATTCTTGAACTTTTCTCTCGTATTGCTGTGTGCATGTCAGACACCAGGGAGTGATGGCTGGGGAGGGGGGGAGGCAAGGGTGCAGGAGAGGGGGGCAGTTTTAATTGCATGACATTGCTGTAAATTAGTCTCTTTTGCTTTCGTTGTCTTTCCTGCCTCCGCCCTCTCTCTACTTCTCCTCCAAGCTCCCCTCCCATCACCCCCGTCCTTCTTTTCCCTCTTTTCTCTTCCCTTGTGTATAGATTTTGATGCTTCTGTTACATTGTACCTCTACAAAAGGCTGGGATTTCAATACAAAATAATAATAATAATTTAAAAATACCTATATCAGCAAAACCCATGTGGTACAAGCAGGAAGGGGATTACTTACACAAGATATAAGAATAAATGAAAGCAATACCTCTTGTTATCCTTCCTATTTTGTACTTTGAAGACACACACGCGCGCACACACACATATACAGACACAAACTGACATTATTTAACGGTTTAAAATGGACAAAAAAAAATCTGATGTATCCCTTGTTAAATAACTGTGAGCAACTTTAGTTCAAAAACCAATAAATTCATTCAGTAAAGATACTAGCTGTTGAGTGTCCTGTTTGTGTCCATGCAAAAGAACCTCTTTCCACCTATGCCATGCTGGTAAGTACAATACCCGTGTTTTCTATACCAAGGTGGAAGATGGCTGGCATGTAAGGTGGCATCCTCGTGGCTGAAGAATTAACCTCGTCTTGATGCAGCTCTGGGGTCTCTATGTGCTTCACCCAGAGTCCTCTACCCCTCCAGCAAAACCTTGCCAAGCATGGGGAGGAAAAAAAATAAAAAAGGAAGGACAGTTCTACCCCATAGCTCTGCTTTTCACAGTAACCCATGAAAAAAGATGAAGCTAAATTGCAGACAAACCCAAAGCCCCAGATGTGAAATGTTTGAAAATGGCCGTGAGAAACTCCCTGCTACTGGTCATTGTCATCTCCAACGTGGTCTTCTGAGGTTACTCCCAGATGAAGCATAGGAAGGATTTCTCCACCCTCCCTGCCTGAAATACCCTGTCAAATACATTTGAAAAATTCTATCAGGTATGTTCCTGGTTTGCATTGGCTTTTTGTTGTTGTTGACTGGTTTGTACGGCTGCTGGCTTGTCGTGCAGCTCTCATGGCTTCAGGGTGTTGACATTTATACTTGATCTGCTGGATGGAAGCCCCCGAATCCACTGTTCAGGCTCACAGGACTGTGGCACGCTTAGGAACTGAACCTGCCTGGACACTCCCCCATCCCCTAGGCCTGACACAATCTTCCACAGCAGAGCCCATGCCTAGGGAGACCTGAGGCAAGGAGGTGGCACCCTCCCTGCGGACATTTTGAGTCCAACAGGGGCTCCCCCCGCTTCCCCTTTCTCTGCCTTTCTGCACCCTCCTCAACTGCCCCAAACGGGGCTGTTCTCCGGGTCCAGCCTGAGGCTCGCAACACGAGGCGGCCGTTGGACGCGGACCGTTGGGGAGTCGCCCCAGCGCGCGTGCGCGGTGGCACTCGCCGCGGCGCGTGCGGCGGCCGTTGGGCGCAGCCGTTGGGGAGTCGCCCCAGCG